TTTTTTAAAGTCTTCTTTAATTTCCTTCATCAGTGGTTTATAGTTTTCTGTGTATAATTCTTTCACCTCCTTGGTTAGATTTATTCCTAGGTATTTTATTAGTTTGGGTGCTATTTTAAAGGGGATTGTTTCTTTACTTTCTTTCTCTGTTGATTCATCGTTCGTATAAAGAAATGCAACTGATTTTTGAATGTTAATCTTGTAACCTACTACCTTGCTGAATTCTTCAATCAGCTCTAGTAGTTTTTGTGTGGACCTTTTAGGGTTTTCTGTATATAGTAGCATGTCGTTGGCATATAGTGACGCTTTTACCTCTTCTTTTCCAATTTGGATCCCTTTTATTTCTCTCTCTTGCCTGGGTTTTGTGTTTTTAAAATAGACATAATTTTACTTATTTGTCTTTCCTAAGAATCATAAAGCAGGAAAAGAAAAGAAATATATACTTTAAGAATCCACGTATTTCATTATTATTATTTTAATTGTAACATTCTTCTAAGAGTCCAGAAGAATTAATACAACTTTCAAATCTTTGGATGTATCATATTTTGAGAATCTGAAAACATACATCAGATCAATAATTTTCTTTTTTCTTTGAAACACTGTGTGGCTTATGTGAATCCCGTAGTCCTAATTTGGTAGGAAAGCACATGAAGCACTTACTATTGCCAATGTGATTTTTCCTTCTACGGCTGCTCCTGCTGTACCTACTATTACAGCCACCACCACAATTGTTACAAATGGAAGTTTACATATTTCCAGATGCTCTATTTTCAGTTGCTGACTATCAGCTCTACAAAAGACTCCTGGAAAATTCTGTTACAAAAAGGTTAAGTTCATTACACAGATTGCAGTAAAATAGAACATCACCTTGACATAATTTTAGTTGTGTCTCAAAAGGGGAAAATCAAGAGAAGATATTTATATTGTTTTTAGCTTTGGATATATAACTTTTAAGGCAGTTATTTGAAGACTTGAAGCTTGTTGGAATTGGACAGAAATTGTAATATAAAAGCTTTAGATTGATGGGCACAGTAAAGGGAGGATTTTGAAATGAGTATTAGGAGCAGCCATTAGTCTTGATAAACAGCTATTTTGGTTCCTTCAATCTTATCTGTCAAGAGCAAGTGTTTCTTGGAGCAAGTAGTAAAGTTAATTTTGTTTGCTTTCAATATATTTTAACATAGGACCAGGGAAGTATTTGGTTTAACATTCATAGCCATGAGCTTGAGGGAACATTCCAGAATGTGACTACCAATTTAGATTTTTGAGAACCAAAAGATGAGAAAAAGTATAGGGAAAGTAAATATAAACAGCAATCAAAATTTGCTAGTAAACTAACCCTGCAATCAAACGTAAGTGCACATAGGCATAAAATGATCATATCCAGAAGAGTTACA